GCACGTTTTCCAACGAAACTGTACTCGGCCCCCCGACTATTTGTCGAACTTCCAAGGCTCTTCTGAACGTGAAAATTACTACGTTATAAGCATTACGAAGGCTGAACATTAGCACAAGAATGTGACGGCGAGCTGTTCATATTTTAATTATTTTTTATTTTAGAAACGTGTCTGCAAAAATTTGAAAGAAAAGGTTGCAGCCACATCCTCTGAGCCTACATAAAATACCCACGATAACTGTAGGTCGCCATTGCATTCCGCAACCATCGACTTCTTCAATTCCAAGAGGTTTGTGTTGACCGATCTCCTTGTCTCTGGGCAAGGTGCGCCGTTCGGCCTACTTTCTTTATCTTACGAGCAGTGGCAGGCTTTTGGTGTCGCCTTTTCCGTCTGCTCGTTCTCTGAGAGCTCCCGAACCTAATGACACATTTTTATCAAACCTCGTATGGACTGAATCTTGCACTGGCCAGATCTTCGTAACTTCTAACTGCATATTAATAATACCAACATGGCCGCATCTCGAAAGCAGAGTAAGTTAATGCAGGATATTTTTTTCTCTCTTCCTAAGGCGCTCTGAGTGTGTAAGCTACGAGCCTGTTGGTGCGAATTCTGAATCGAATGCGATTACTAAGAAACATTACAGCTGACCGTGTAAAAATATGCAGATAGCTCATGAACAGACTTCACAAGAATTGTGGTTAATACAGAATTCGCTCGTATGTTGTGTTTTATCCCATACAAAATTTCAGATGCGTGCCTTCAATGCTTCGTTTGTTAACGCAAAGCAAAATATGCAGCCCCATAACCTAACCTAACCTAATCTAACCTAACCTAACCTAACCTAACCTCACCTAACCTAAACTAATCTAACCTAACCTAAACTAACCTAACCTCACCTAACCTAAACTAATCTAACCTAAACTAAACTAACCTAACCTTACCTAAACTAACCTAACCTAATCTAACCTAAACTAACCTAACCTAACCTAACCTAAACTAACCTAACCTAATCTAACCAAACCTAACCTAACCTAACCTAACCTAACCTAACCTAACCTAACCTAACCTAACCTAACCTAACCTAACCTAACCTAACCTAACCTAACCTAACCTAATCTAACCTAACCTAACCTAACATGGCACAAAATTATCAAAAGAAAAGTTTCATATCTTTCGAACCTCTTTTACCACAGATCTGAGGATCCTTCGTCAAGTGATGGCGTGGCCACTTGTGTGTAAATGAATTTATCTTAATTTTGCAGAAGTTCGAAGCAGGAACAAGACATCGTTTAGTCCGTCCTCACTCGAGACTGAAATTGTTCAGTGCTTACGTCCGCAATTTATATTTGAAATAGATTAAGGTAATGATATCCTATAAACAAACAGGGGACACCAGGCACTTTAACAGTTGCCGATGTAAATAGTCCGACGACTTGCATTCGTCAGTTAATTTCACGATAAAATCTTGGCCCGCGGTCTTTGTTTCGGAGGACAGTTGGCGCGAGTCTGCGCTGTCCTTCGAGCGAGCCCGCTTTAAGACAAAG